TAAATCTATTCTGAATTTGGTATATCTATCTTAAATTTATGAAATCATTGTATATTCTAAACTTAGCAAAAAAGAAGATCTATTCTGTAATTGGCATATTAATATCTTTTCTGATCTTAGTCTTTAGATTTGCTCTAAAATTTGCGTATCGGGATCTATTTCTAAAGTACTATCGTTCTTGAACTTTGAGATCGACTCTGAACTTAACAAATTGGGATCTATTCTGCATTTATCAAATCAAGAAATCTATTCTGAACTTAGCATATTAAGATTTTTAACACAAGAAGATCTATTCTGAACTTGGCACATTAAGATCTATTCTGAACTTGGCACATTAAAATCTATTCTGAACTTAACACATTAAAATCTATTCCGAACTTAACATAATATTATCTCCGAAATTAGCACATTGGCGTCTATTTGTACTTTACGACTAGGATGACGTTAAATAGACTGAATATTTCCTGGCAAAAATACTGTATACCACTGCGATAATGATAGATGATTTATCTGTGAACTTTCATCAAACATTTTGGTGTACAAAATGATGAATATATTTCTATGTAATATTACAATAATAAAATATTTTCACTGTTAAAATAGTGTTCAATACATCAATTGTAGGGTGATATAGAAATACCACTGTTAAAATAGTGCTCAATACATCAATTATAGAGTGATATAGAAATACCATTGTTAAAATAGTGTTCAATACATCAATTGTAGAGCAATATAGAAATACTACTGTTAAAATAGTGCTCAATACCTCAATTGTAGACCGATATAGAAATACCACTGTTAAAATAGTGCTCAATACATCAATTGTAGAGCGATATAGAAATACCACTGTTAAAATAGTGCTCAATACATCAATTGTAGAGCGATATAGAAATACTACTGTTAAAATAGTGCTCAATACATCAATTGTAGAGCTATATAGAAATACCATTGTTAAAATAGTGCTCAATACATCAGTTGTAGAGCAATATAGAAATATCACCGTTAAAATAGTGCTCAATACATCAATTGTAGAGT